TATATACATACACACACACATATATATATATATATATATATATATATATATGTTTATACACGAATGGATATATATATACCTACAAATGTATGTTTTTCCGTAATAGTGCGTGCGTGTGTGATGTGTACTACCACTGATAGTGTAGCTCATATACACTTACATCGCTTTCGGTCCAGCAGCCATGAACGACAAGTGGCACGTCCCAGCACACGGCAGGGGTTATGTAGTACTTACGCTCGACCCATTGTGGAAATTTTATTTCTATTGGAGTAGGAACAATTCCGGATTCATTCAACCAGACACCCACGGCCGCATCCTCATTCGCGTACATAACCAGATCACCTGTCACGGATGGATTGCAATTGGATGACCTGAGTAGGTGTATGTGTAACGGTGCAGCAGACATTCTGTTGGTGGCATCTTAGCATAAGAAGAGTGGTAGGCTATATGCGTTAGGGAGTAGTCAAAAACTGCCAGCTGTGAACGTAACGTACAAACTCACCACACTCGGTTTTGTCTATCTTGTCGACATGACCGATCTATTGCAAGAAAAAACCATTTGATTTGCTGAATGAAGCTCTGACTATGACTTCACCCCATATCCATGCTTGAGTATGGGTGGTGACTGTTTGCTTTCATTGAGCTTAGCTATGCATGCCCTGAAGGTCGCCCGGAAATCTACTGAGTACATTACTTCCTTCGCTACACCCGGGAACTTGGACTATTAACATATTCTCAATCTATATACAAATCCGGCAGGAATAGGAACTGTCTACTTGAATCAAGCAAACCTCGCATACCTTGTCTATGCCGACTGGCTATGGCATCCACCAGAGCCCAGGTAAGCGCATAGAGTGGTCCGTTCATGTAGGGCGGGTATGTCGATGGTGTGTATGTGTGGTCATCCCACTTGCTATCATTACCACCTGAGCAAGCAGAGTGTGAGAGGCGCGCGATTAGGGGCATGTGCGTGAACGGTTGGGTGCAACATGCTATGCAGGCGCAGCTTGACAGATAGATATGGTCATTTTAGTGCGAAGGATTTTTCAAATCTTTAAAACAAACACACCTGGTATGGTAGAACAAGATCAAATATGAAATGTGATGCACCTTAATACAAAGCTTGAATCACGATACCACATAGAAATGTTCGTCACACTTAGTACAACCAACTGGCCGGGTACGAACTGATACAACATACCATGTGATTCTCAGCTGACGTTTAAACTAAATTATACTGCATAAGACTCTTCAGCACACTCACCTGGCCTGGTAGAAGCGTTCTGGTACAACATACCATCATAAGAAGAATTTCCAGCACACTCAGCACACTCACCTGATCTGATAGGAACGACCTGGTACTACCTACCATGTGATTCCACTGAAGCTTAAAGAGTTGGTAATGCTTAAGAACTTTCAGCACACTTAGCACACTCACCTGGCCTGGTAGGAACGTTATAGTACAACATGCCCATCCAGGCTGAGTCTCCCACACGTGCACGTGCACCGTTCTTGGTGAGGGTCCGGAGGAGGACTGCATGGTCTACACAGGCATCCGTATCGGTTTTGACGTACCTGAGTAGTGCGAAGGGATGAAGGGGTGTAGATTAGACACAAGTTTGTTGAACGTTTTGCTTATCTCTATTTATGTTTCAAAGGGTTCCAAGTGAGCGACAACAACTTGAGGTTAGCGGGACTCTAACACGCCTTCGTATTGATCCCGCCGTACTGGGGGAGAGTGAATAGAAGTGAGCTGAAGAAACTAGAGCCCAGACTATTGGCCACTGATCGATATCTGATAGTGAGTAGGAGTAGTCATTGGTACCACATGATCGACACGCGTGCGTGTATGTGGTACACGGTGCATGCTTGGGAGCTGTATGTGTGCGATATCGTTGCCTACTGCAGCAAACACGTGAGAATACAAGGACGAATATGTATCTGAGATGACAACAGTTCCCTTGGTAGTCTTTACACCTGCAACTACGGATGCGGAAGCAGGGGTCGTGTAGGCACGATGTCCGAATACGCGTCGGCAACTGTAATGAGATTTACGCACGTCGACTAAGGTACACCTTAGCTGTATCTCTTGTTTAAATATTCAGAAACCCATTTCTCATACCATCGGGCGCTGGTGTTGGCGATTTGCAATAGCTCATCAATTCGTGCGATTGTGGCCCCCGTCTTGGATGTCAGTTTGAAGTAATCCTCCTCAAAATCATCGAGAACAATCATATCCTTGAAGAATTCCGCCTGAAGAAAGGTAGCTATTGAGTACAATTTGAAGTTTCGTAATATATGCCAATTCCGTATAATTGAGTATTTTTAAAGACAACATTGCAGGTGCGGGTATTTGTTAGTGATCTGAACATAGCTCTATCATAGCACTCGGCTAGAATAGTTCAATATACCTGAACAGTTCATACCCTTGTACATATACTGTATATAAAAGACGCATATATAGTTCAGCATCCGTATGAGTGCATCATGACCTGCGTTTGAGCATACGTATGTGAACATAGAAAAGCGTTAACTATATTCACACGTACGAACACGTAAAGTATATTCACACGTATACGCGTGCTTATATCTATACATAAATAAACAAACCAGTATTGTGCATGGTCAAAAAACTCACCTCATCATACAGCTCTTGCGTATCAAAACGTTTCCGGACAGATCGCCCAGGGCCTTCATCACTGGACTGCTTCACCACCCCGCCATTTCGGTCAGCAAGATACCCCGAGCCAGTAACAAAGTAGTAAGCCACTGGGACGTGCTTGTACTCTCCCATAGTATACGTATACGCGATTGTATCACGTATGTACTGTCGCGCACCAATCTCTGCTGGATGGGTCATATACACCACCACAGCTTCCAAATGCGAATCCGTTGGCAAGACCGCGAGGCCACTCAGACGACTAGGCTCTGTCGGCCTGCGAATATCATCTGAATCCGTATTGAACTTCCCCCGATTGTCCCGTAGTTGCCGAACGGATTTGCCCGTGGTGTGCTTCTGCATCCAGGCCGGTCGTTCTTTCAAACGGGGTTTATCTCTCACTGGCTTGGTACCGGTTCTGATCTGTCCTTTGGCTCGAATGGTGGTCTGAGTTGTTTCCTCATTGTTTGTCGTGGACCTGTTTACAGAAGCACGCATGTCGCCTAATATACCTTCATTTCTGGCCCTTTGTTTCGCTTGGACAGGCGCCAGAAGTGACTCTGTGACATCTCTTCTGGGTTCATGGTATGATAAGTGAACGTCTTTCAACTTTTTGTGGTCCTTCGAGTCCAACCGATTGAAGCCACAACTCTCATAGAGCGCGGAGATACTAAGCCATGCAACTGTGAAGTATATTAATACAGTAGATCATCAGAAAGTGCTCGATTAAGGAATACAATTTGTTTGAATACCACACCGAATAGAATTGGTACAAAAGTAAAACCAAACGGGAAGCATAGTTACAAAAAGGTATATTATTGTGGTCAGAACACCCTATTGGTTTTTTTAAATTGTATATACGTATATATTAGATTCAACTGTAAAAAACTTAGATATCTGTCACTAGAATATATATACATATATTTATATATATATATATATATATGTATACATACGTATATATATAT